CACTGCGGAGAGAGCCGGGCCCCCAGCGGCGACCACGCGCGCCGCAGCCCCTTCTGCAGTCTCCGGAGAGAGCCGGAGTGAGTGAGTGGAGTGAGTGAGTGAGTGAGCGACGGACGGAGGAGGGGGCGAGGAGGACGGAAGGAAGGACCGGCGGATGCGGGCGGGATGCCAGCCAACAAAACTAGAACCCCACACAGAGATGTGGGGAAAAACATATTGAGTCATATGAGAGAGACCAGTCCAAAATCCACAATGGGGTCCGACTCGAAGTCTTTTTGTGGAGGAAAAGACCAAGTTTGGATGATGTTTGGAGGAAAGTACTTTGCAACATCACGTGAGATCTCGTAGTGTCCCGGTGCGCAATCTCCAGCCTTCAGTTTTTCGTAGTCGTGCGTTCGACCGGACATCAGCCGGCCCAAGCACCTGACGGCAGGACACGGCAGGACATGACCTCCCCTTGATCACTCAGGTGTCCTTTAGAAGAAACATTCACTAAGGTCTTCAAGAAAAACCTTTAGAAGGTGTCCTTGATCACTAAGGTCTCACTAAGGTTCAAGGTGTCCTGAAACCGTGGTTTTTCTTGAACTCTTCAGGACCATGATCGGAATTGGTCGGAGTGCATTCACCTGCACTTCGCCAAATGTTCGGGAGTGGTGAGTGGTTTGAGAAATCTCAACACGAATGTGCCAACAATCTGTATGAGTTCTTCCAATGGGGAGCCTCTGTGAACGAAACTTGGCCTTAGCAGGTCATGAGAGTCTTGCTTTTGATGCCAATGATACGACATGCTGCAAAGCTTCAGGAGTGACTCTCGTTGGTTCAAACAACACTGTGTCATAGTGCTTTAGGAACGTTTAAGCGGCTTCAGTCTGACAGAACATTCGTTTTGCTGTCCTCATGACTCATGGTCTATCTTGGGAAATAAGATTTCCCGATAGCCGAAGCATGTACTTGCATTCAGACTTTAAGAGAAGAACACCTTCGAAGCTATCAGAATCAGAACCCATGAAATACTTGATCAGGTTCTACAATTCCGTCTAATCTCTGCTCTGATGACCCTACAAAGAAATACTGAAATACTGCTCTACCCTCTACTTGGGCCTCCACAACTCCTTGTGGCAACGCTCAAATCCTCTAGACTCTATATAGTATCTATGGTCAGCCTACATGCCTTGGATTTTCAATGATTCTCAGGCATGTCTTCCTAGACCTGTTCACGGCCGCTCGGTCGCCATTGGCTTGGTAGAGGACCATGCAGATGGTCCAAGTTGTGCACCCTTCACATCGTCCCTGTGACCGCACTATTAGGAGCAAGAACGCTACTAGGAGCAAAGGGCATCGCTACTAGGAGCAAGGACGCTACTAGGGGCTCCTGGCCGTACTACTAGGAGCAAGAACGCTCCTAGTTCCCCAGGCTCGTTCCCTACGGCGCGGCGGTCATCAGCTCTACGGGTTCGGACCCACAAAGGGCCGCTGCAGCCATTAGCAGTAGAGAGCTCATCGACGAGAAGGAAAGCCTGGAGAACGTGGGTCTCTGGGTCGCTAGGACCCAGATCTCACCGCAATGCTAGCTTGATATCCCAGCTTGGCATTTGGGGGGGCCAAACAGGGCTTTGACCTGGTCTTGACATGACCCACCTGAACATGGCAAAGTCCACCTCGTCTTCACAAAGCATGCTGCATGCTCAACAACTACAAAACAAAGTCTTGCACTGGACTCGGACTACTTCCTGATTCATGTCCAGCTTCATACAGGCTTCATGACTTTCTCTTAGAACGAACAATCCAGCTCTTCCCACCTTGAGCTCTCAGCCTTGAACTCAAAACTCCTCTTGCCTCGCACTCGCGAGCATCGTCGAGAAATCAGGGGTTTGCCCTCTCTGGTTCCATACAGGCTGCCAGATGGTCGAGATGGTCGTTCGACCAAGAAGGCCAAGGGCAGCATATAAACATACCTGCTACCACGCCCCTTCCACCTGTAGGACTGAGGTCAAAAAAAGAAACGTCAAAAAAACAAAAACTAGACCGCCCAGGAAAAAGGAGTGATCATCAGGGTTGCCACGCAGCAATCTCAACATCTTGGTGAGGTGAGTTTCGGGAAAATCCATGCTTGTGGGCCGGGATCTTGCGGGTGTAGCAAAAATGAAACCTGCATTGCTGCAATAGCATAGAATTTCTAAACTTCCAGTACGGAAGTGACAAGTTCTAAATTGGCACAAAAGCTCCGAGTCTGTTTGCCTGCACGGGGGTGATCATCCTTCATCTGCACCAGCTGGTGTGCATTGAATTGGGGTGATCCCCCAAAGATGCCAAAGACGCCAGGTCAACCTTAACATGGGCTGCTCAAAAAGACATTTATATAAATAACTGTTGGTCACCCAGTCACCCTCTTCTAATTCACAGCTGGCGCTGGAGCCTGTGCCGCTGAAGTTGCGGCCAACATGGCACGCACCGCCAATGAAGAGCACCAGTAGGGCCAACCTGAGTGAAGCAACATCAACCAGCAGAACCCTCTGGAAAGCGGTGAAGTTCGCATCACCAAATCGGGCAGAGGTTTTCAATGATAACGATTAGAATCAGATGCAACATCACCCAACTGTTTTCGGTACAGTAGCTCTCCTTTCACCAATTGATTCTTTTGGGGATATCATGAAAACAAATGCACTTGTTGGTCTTGCGAGAAGAGGCTCGTCTTCACCACTGCACCACCAGCCGCTCAGCCTCTTCCCCCCAAAAAAAATCGGAGTCCCAACTTCAGGACAGTCCTCCATGTCGACGTGGCAGGGCATGGCACCTGTGGCTGGGGTGCTGGATGGCACTGCGGCGCGCAGGGACCCAGGACTCGTTGGTCTACCTTTCGAGCAAAATCCGACAAAACATGCTTTCATGGTCGGTAAGGAGTGGCATCAGTACCCCTGAAACATCTTGAATGGCAACCTTGTCTTCTACCTTTTCTGCATGCATGGTTTTACCAATACAACCCTGCACCCCACTTCTCCCATCTCAAGGTGAGGGCCGTCTATTATCGGACATGACCGCAAACTGACTGAAGAATGGATGTGTACTGTCCCGCCCACTGAAGGGTCTTCCCAATGCGCTTGTTACTTTTTAGACTACTTTTTAGTAGCGATGCCCTTGTTGCTAGTAGCTTCTTGTGTGGGTTCGTAGCAATGCCAGGGAGCTACGTTCGTTGCGTCCGATTGCTCCGTTCGTAGCGATGCCCACAGCCGTGCCGCAGCCCTCTTTTTGGCCTGACGTCATGCTCCCGTCCTCGCCGGGGGGGGCGCGGAGCCGCGGAACGCCAGGAAGGCGCGGAGGGCTTCGTTGAGGTCCTCCATCGCGCCGACAGTCATCGCGCCGCGCGCGGAGAGCGCGTCATCCAGGAGCATGAGGCGCTCAGCCGTGATGCACCTGGGCTTGGCAGGTCCACCCTGTCACCGAAATCAATCAATCAACGGGGGTAGGTCCCGCTTGGGCCCTTTGGAGAAGGGACCATAGAGGCATCGTTCAATTTGATTTGGGATCAAGTATGCAAAGGAACCACTGGTCGCAGCGGTCGCAGCAGTCACAGAACGAAAACAGCACACGCCTGGAGGTGACAACAGCATACCTTGAAACCCGCACAAACCACCTCGTCTGCTCATCCAGGAGACTCTGCTTTGGAGTGAAGGTGATTGCGCGTCCAGCTGCACATGGCTGCAAGAAAGCTGTTGGAGATCCGCTGGTGCTCCAAGAGCAGCTCGAAGCACAGGAAGGGATCATCGAATTCCAAAGGACTCTCATTGCCTGGTCTGGGATTAAAAACTAGACTGTATGGGTATAAATTATATATATATATGTGTGTGTACGTGTGTATCTTTAAAGCGATAAACATGTTGCTTTGGTGAAAAGGAACCATAAAACATTGGGCAAACTGGTACTTACGGCCAGAAATTTCTAAACCAATTCGTCTGCATGACGCTGGAAGTTGAAGGAGTTCATGAACCTCATGATTGGCAACCTTTAGAGTGAATTTGAGTACCCCATACAGAGTGTTTTCCAGCCAGATCAGTATGGTCAAAATGTAATTGTTTTGAATACGGGCCATCCACTGGATGAGAATATCTCAAGACACGCCCGGGAGGAATCCTTTGTGGATCTTTGGATAACGAGGCATCGCTGCCAAGCTGCCCAAGGCATCGACTCTCCTCACTAACGCCTCCAGCAAAGCTTGGTCCTTCGACAGCTCCAAAGCCCTCAACAATGCGGCAAGAGGCGCCTCATGTCACGTGACATGTGACTTGAGATGGAAAAATATGGAAACCATGTCTGGGCATGGGATCAACATGAATCAATGGATTTCTGCTTAGGGCCTGGGGTGGTGTTGTAGATTCCTACTATTCTTGTTGGCCTTTTGCCCAGGTATCACAAACCAACCCCCAGAAACCTGCGGCGAATTATCATGGCATGCATGGATTTGTCTAAACGCGCACTACTTTAATATATTTAATATCATCCAAATTTGCACTGCTGTGGCTGTCGCGTGGGATCATACATCATAAACCTTTTCGAGAGCATCAACATATGTGTCCTGTCCTGGAAACGTTGTTAACCTCGTTTGTTCGATTACAGTAATATGCTTGGCACGTTCCGCCATCACCAGCATCACCCACTCTCAAAACACTTTTTGAACCATGCGACCTTTGCGCAAAATAAGTGCCTGATCTTTGAGCATCGAGCTTCCACGTCAATCTGCACCCATCAAACCCCCTTCACTCGCCTCTTTCAAGAAGAGCACTCTCCTTTGCCGCAGAAAATCATCGAGCGGCTCTTGTAAGCCACCCAAGGCCTCGTTCAGGGTTTCCCACGTACCACGCCGGACACCCGTACGACGTATGCCATGCTATGTAAACAAAGGAGTTTTGGAAGAGAAAACCAAACATGGCCAGATCATTGAGTTGCTTTCCCCAAACTGATCCGTGTGACTGATCAAAGACCCCATGTACACAGCACTACTTCTTGAGGTGGTTTCACCTGCCTCAAAGCAAGCCTCCATAGTTACCAGTTCATGGTAGCCTTGGATGACGGTGGACCCCTCTTGATGCACAGTGAACTGTGACTAGTCAGTCTTCTTGAAGGGTACTACTCAACGAAACCTGTGAGGGTGTTTTTTGGCTTTCTGACTTGAACCCTTGCAAATGTTTGTGTACGAGATCTCGTTGCATGCAAATATGTTTGAAAAGGTGTCAGTAGGAGCATGGATGCTACCAGGGGTGCAAGAGGACAAAGGATGATAAAGGTGCTTAGCATGATGGTGCAGACGAAAAAACAAGTGGATGAGAACAAGGTGAGCGCCCTGGCCCAGCAGCACATGCTGTGGGCAGCCCAACTAAGGCAAAGGAGATGCACCACTGACTTCAGAAGATGTCGGTATACAAGAATCAAAGGATGCTGCGGATGCAGCATTAGTGCATTCCATCGCTGGAGCCGCAGGCAACTCAGGCAACTTTGAAAACAGGCGTCTCTGGCCAAACACAGCTACCCAATCCAAAGCTGACATCCTCCGGAAGCTTCATTGTAACGCTTCGAGGGCCGCAATCATGGGCACATCATTGCCGCAATCATGTCTACGGCTGGGAGAGCGTAATATAGCTCCATGGATGGGTGGAAATCTTGCGGTCTTTCAACCATATGCACTCAGCCGCACACACCAGTTTACTCATGTTTACTCCATATTGACCCACTCAGGAAAAGAGTGGTACTGGAACTGGGTCGTAGGTTTCATGCTCAGGTCGCGAGCACACGAACGCCACTGGAAAGATGAGGGGCAGGCTGGAAGGATGTATCTTTATGGCGTTTTGCTTCGGCTCCTGAAATCGCCATGTGGGCTGGAGCTCACGTCCCTAGCGGGAGCGATCACCAGAAGTGCGGGAGCTGTGGCCGAAGCAAAAACCCGTCAGTGCCGACGCATGGAAGCAGCCGTCGAGAATCGGTTCAACCAGTTTGGGACTGACCGAAATGGCGACAAATGGCCCAACATGATCTCTTCGTCGGCTAGGCCATTTTGGACTGAGGTCTGGCTGAGGTCTAGCAGTCTTGAGTCCTGCTAGCTGCTACAGCGAAACTTGGAAGCTTGCCTTTTCAAACAAAATCTTGGTGAGCCCAGCAAGGCAGCGGCTCATCCGAAAAGCTCAGACCACCTGTGAGACACTTTGAGATCAGATTCTGATCTTCAGCTTCTGCAAGTCAGCTGTGCTTATGCCTACAAATGGTCCCACGCAGCCCAACAAGTGCTTCAGGCAAAACAAGGCCCCAAAGTAAATCCACCAAGACTTGTCCGTTTCTGCTTCGGCCCAAACCCCGCTTTTCCAAGCCCAAGTGTCCCAGGTTCCGAAGCTCCAAGGCCTTCACCGCCAGCCGTTTCAGCAGCGCCTGGCCCACGGTGCCGCCGCGCGCCAGGCGCGCCAGCGTCTTCGCCAACTCAGTGCCGTCTCTCAGGGGCAGCTGCTCCAGGCGTTGTTCTAACGAGGCCAGCGCAGCACACAAGGTGGGTTGCTTCCGTGTGGGCGCCTCACAAGCGTCGCCACAGCCCGGAAGTGCGATTCGTTTGGGAATAGACACTTTATGAGAGTTGGACAATGGAGCAGGGAACAAGCAGTCACTCTTCGAGGTACCCAAAATTGTTCCATATGTATCCATATGTCATGTCATGCTAATTCTTACCACTATCAAATTCAAAATGCGCTCACTCAAAACGATTTCCAAACAATTACAGTACATGCTTGAAGGCAGGAGGGGTACTATAAATGGATCGATTGAGAAGAACCCAGGGGTGAAACCCAAACAAGACAAGTTCGTCTGGCTTCTATTCTATCCCTTCACCCGATTGAAATGGAAGGAAATGACCATCATCAGCAGTGCCAAGAAAATGATTCAGCATCCATGGCACTGGGATAAATCCATGCAAGTTGTTCCCCTGCAACATGGATGGTACCGGTCAGGGCTCTTGTGGCGGCTAGGGGTAGTACGGCTGGTTCAATACCATTTGGGAGCATTGACATCTTCGAGTGCAGTCGGCCACACAATCCACTCAGCGTCTTTTCCTGCTCAATTCGTTCACACGAATGTGTCTCCTCGCCAACCAAAGACGTGTCCTGGACATCAACCGCCGGTCACCTGCACCCGAAAATCACTTAGTTCGACTGAGCCCTGAAAAGCATCGGAGAAACAAAAAAAACCACCGTCCTCGAGTTCTCGTCCACATCTGCTCTTGATTCATACACCCACCCCACTTGAATTGAAACACCTCTTCATATGGGGGGGGCTTATAGTCCTCAAGAGTCGCCTCGTTTGTTTCCTGCCTGTCGCTTCAGCAGCTCCCAGCCGGTCAAGGCCTCATCCAACCCCAAGCCGGGCGCCAGCGCCGCGAGGCGCGCCCCCAAGGCGTTCGTCACGCTGAGGTCCTGCGCGTTCTGTCGCTCCATGGCCGACAGCACCGCCAAGACATCCTGGAGGCGGAACGGGTGGAAGAATCGGAAGGACCAAAATGTGTTTGCTTGATGAAGATTCTGAAAGATCTGGGATTTTGGGGGGGGGCAGGACGGGAAAGGCAAGAACAGTCAATCTCACCTAACACTCTTCGGTGCATCTATAACTGAAACTATAAATTGGTGAGAAGAACAGAAGAATCTCTCTCTACACTCTACACCAAGATCTCGATCGTAGCTCTTACCGACCATCCTGTCGTGTCCTCTTCCGACCATTCGGATGTTCTGAAATCTTGGATCCAAACTTCCAGGGCTGCGGAGTGTCTGTTGATTGTTTCTTGTTCATCTTGTTCCAAGAAATCAGTAGCCAATCCCCGAAATTGTGAGAACGAAAGCAACCGAGTGAAACATACAGAAAGTCAATCGGCCCGCCCGGCCCTCCATTCCTTGAGGAGTCTTCCTGTCTTTGACAAAGCCTTGTCTCTGACTCTTCTGGACGTGGCGACGTGGCGGTCTCTCCACGTCCAGGCCTCACAGGGCAAACGTGGCGCCTGCTCCAGGGCTGCTTCGGCCAGGTCCACCCAATGCTCGAGCGAGAGCGGGGTGCCTGACGTGGTCTCTGAGCGAAAGCGTGCGGAAATGCTGTGTCAAAGTCCTTGATCCAAATCGCTTGATTGGTTGGGTTTGTTTGGTCTGATTATATATGTCTGATTGGAGATGAACAAGCACCTCAAAAACATCGGCCTTGCGCGCATTGGGGTTGGCATCATTCCAATTGTAGCTGTTGAATGCCTTTGAGTAAGAGCCCATTCTCAGAGCTAGGAACACACCAACATCTGCCTCCGCACCTTCCAATGCCCTCTGTGCCAGACTCCGGTGCTCCGTCCGCAGCGGCTCCCCGACCCCCAGCAGCAGCGCACGGGAACCGCGGGAGAAGCGTGCGGAGCACCGAAGGCTCCGTGGCACGAGCTGGTAAAGGCGTGTGGGGCGCATGGCTGGCAGATTGAGTCCATCTGGCTCATGGAATGGGTGATTGTCACTGTGACCGTGTGTGCTTGAGCTGTGAACAATATGGGAACACTTAGTATATACAGGAATAAAGATCGGCATGGCATAGTGTCGGACGCTGTGTCTTGTGTTGCTGCTTCCCACTGGAAACTGGCTTTTGGATCATGTTCAGATGGCCCAAGGAGTCCATTGGACTTCTCTCTTCCTGCGCGGGCGATCCAAGGAGGTGCAACCATTGGTCTGGCCCAGGGGCCCAGGGGACTCTGGTTGTGCGAGTTGGGGTTCTCAACTTAGCTGTGCGAAGCCCAATCCCAAATGAAGGTCCAGTCACCAATCTCCTTGCGTCGAGGAGGGTCTTTCTTCTGGACGTGTTCTGAGTTTTGTCCTGTTGTCTGAAATAGTTGAACAAATGCCGGGGTAGCTCCTGACATCAGATAATTCCCAGTCAAGCTGGCGTGTTTTTCAAAGTGTGCGCCTTGAGTTGCAAATAGTTGCGAGAGTTGCAAGCCAACGCGCTGAAACGCTGAGCTGCCTATATACTACAGTATATAAATCCACACATCCATGGTGGTATCAGCATCAAAGAAACTGAGTCTTGGACAAACCATGAAACACACAACAAACCAAGAACACTCTCAGGAAATGGATGAAGTTTGGCATGTCCAACTCTAGCCTGACCTGCGCTGACCTGCGATGGGAACACTCTATGGAAGGAGACTTCGTCCATGTTCGACCCTAGTGATCTGACTTCGTGTGGTATGGCACGATGATCAACCTCTAAGACTCCAAGAATACGAGGATGGCATCGGAGCGGTCCACGGATCCACGGATCTGTCAGGAAGTGCTTCAGACACTTGCACATGTTTTTATACGAAACTACTAAACTACCTACAACACCATACAGTATTGTTTGGCCCTTAACAATGAACTCACAGCGTGTTCCCCTGGATCGTCGTGCTCCTTTGCCTTTCGCAGTGGAAAGCCCTCCAGGTTTCCCTGGCTTTGCGTCCAGGTTTCCCATGGGAAGTCCGACCCCCAGCCACCGGCTTCTGATTCGCACCTCGTCCTCGTTTGCGTTACCCCTTTTCGGAACCCCAAATGGCCCCCGACCCGTTCTGTCCTCGGTTCCCGGCCGACCGCTTGGGTCTCATTGGAGCCCGTCCTTCCCCTTCGCAACACCACGCGGTTGGTTGGCCTCGATGAGGTGTGGCTGCCAGCCACCCTTGCATTGATTCCCAGGCACCTGGACGCGTCGGTCCACAGCGTTTGGTCCACATTGGTCCACTGCGTTTGGTCGTACCAACCAGGTTACGACCGTTTGAACCACAGCGAGGAGGCGGAGAATTCAGGGGATTTGTTTCGTTTGGTTTCTATATCAGGGTGGCTCAAAGTGGCTCAAAGCATCGATACGCGTCCGGATGGATCGGGTGGAAGTGAGCCCAAGTGAGCCAGGTGAACTTCAACCACCGTCTCGTGTCGACCGTCTCGTGCAGTGTCACACGGCAAAGCCAGAGGTACAGGCATGAGCCCGAATGAAACCATGGACAGTCCACATGATCTGCCCGCCCTCCTGTCGAGGCCCAACTACCACTATCATATGCAAAGAGTCGCTTGTGATCTTTCTGTATCTATTCTCTTCATGACATTCACCCCACTTTCTCCGATTCCTCCACATCCTCTGAGACGCGCCCGCCGCTCCGATTCTCCGCTCCACATCTGCGAAAACCAGCACTGGGAAAAGACGTTTACCCCTGGTGAAAGGACCGACCTTATAGGGTTGGTCCTCCTCTTTCACCAGGGCAAACGTGGTTGCACAATCGCGGCCGCGCCAAGTCAGGCATCGGCCGGTTCCCAAGCTGCGCCCAAGCGTCGAGGATCGCCCAGCGCGAAGAGTGTCCACTGCACAAACTCCAAGTGACATTCCCGAGCTGCCAACTGCAAAGCTGTATGGCCTTGTTGTGACACTGTGTCGTCAGCACCAGACACAAGTGCCCACTGTGCAACATTCAGGATCCCATTTTGAGCTGCCATGCGCAACAAATCATTAGCTGTCTGTTTGTTTCGTAGGCCACGTGCATTCACCATCATGGAGCAGCAAGCTCACAATGTCCAAGTCCCCTTTCTCAGCAGCCAAGTCCAAAGCTGTGTTGCCACAGGCTGTCACTTTGTCTGGGTCTACACCAGCTTTCACTGCACAACTTTCATATGGCATCGCTCAGCTGCCAAGCTCCCAAGTGAGGAGCAATAGCTGCACTGCCTTCAAGTCCTGCTGCTGAACGGCCATGTGCAACGCAGCTTTGCCACTTGCTGTGACCTTGTTCTTGTCAGCACCAGCCTGTAGCAACAACTGCAAGACTTCTAAGTGGCGTTGTTCAGCTGCCCAGTGCAATGCCGTCTTGCGACTTCGCTTGACCTTTTCTGTATCCAGTAGTTATGGAGCAAAAGCCGCACGACTTCCAAGTGGCGTTGCTGTGCAAAGGCCAAATCCCATGTGCTGTGACCGTCTCTTTAGCCGCCTCGGTCTCAAGCAACAGCTGCACCATGGTCGAGTGGCCCAAGTTTTGTGCTGCAGCAACTCTTCGATTGATTACATTTGATTACCAGCGCGTGCGGAAAAGAGCTTCTGATTCTGATTCTCAGAATCTTCATGGACAAAGTCTAGGATCAAGAGCCTAATATTCAAGGGAGGCAAGAGCGGCATGTTATCCTGAAGCTCACTGCTGTCATCATCACTGAACCATCTCTGCCGGAATCTTGCGGCTCCGATGAGTTTGGCCACATAGTTTTTGAGCGGCTTGACACATTTCTCCACAACCTCATCCCCACTGAAGCTAACGAGCAGTTCACCAGACAGTGCTGAGGAAAACTCATACATGCTCCTTGACATTGAGGCCTTGTAGGTAAGTGCTGAGCCTGAGCCACTTGTACATCCAGATATATATTTATATAAATTATATTAAATTATAAATATTTATAGAATTTTATAAATGACTGCCATTCATGAGTCAGGCCAAACAGCTATGGACAGTGTTGCAAAACACAGCCCCTCCACACTGCAGGTCCTGCCTTTCGGTAAGCCTGGGCGCCGTACCTCGGTGAGGCTGGCGGTGTGTTCGGCGCAAACCGTTTGGGGGCCTAGTAGCTTCCTTGCTCCTAGTAGCGATGCCAGGAGCCCCTAGTAGCGTCCTTGCTCCTAGTAGTATGGCCAGGAGCCCTTAGTAGCTTCATGTAGCTTCATAGTTGGGGCTTCCGAGTTCCACCAAAGGGCTTTCCTTTAGGGCCCAGCCGTGGCTTGAGCTGGGTGTGTATCCCATCTGCCCAAGGCAAGTGGTCTCCCGTCTAGGTCAGGGCTTCCAGCTTCTGCAGTCGAGCGACGTGCCCTGGCAAACGGCCGGCGCAAACCTGCCGTCGAGTCAGCGACGGAAAGGAGCGGGTGCACAGCACATGGGAGGGGATAGAACAAAGTCAGTGACAAGGTCCAAATCGCAGGAGTCAAATCTTTACAGGTGACACCCAACAATGAGTTGGCAACGGAATCGGCACGCTGCAAATCCAAAGGGTCTTCGCATGGAAGAACTTGAAGAACTGTTACCTGATCTCGGTTTTGGTCTTACTTCTGGAGCCAAGTCAAGGATTCTAATGTGCCTGTAGAGTCCAAGAACCAACCTCGTCCGAGTCCTATCTGTGAATGCAGCCCTTTCTTGCAAGATCAGATTGTCAGATCTCGGTTTCCTCGGCTTGGGAAGGTCGCGGATCTTTGCGCTGTCTGGAACCTTCAACCTAGACCTCGCTGCTCATCGTACCTCGAATTCATTCATGCACTGTCTAAGGGGACGAGACTGTACAAAACCCTAGGCAGGGAAGGTCCGAGGCGGGTGGCTCTACAATGAACCGTAGAAACAGCCAAAAACTCACCAACTCACCGGGGCGACAAGAATCAGCTTTCGACCAGTTGGTCCACATCCGTAGGGCTAGCATTCTTCATTCCAGCTGCTTTGGGCTCCACTGCCGAGAACTGCTCCAGTCGCTGACTGCCAGTGTCCGGGTTGCCGATCCTTCGGTGGGGCGCCCGTCGCTGCCCGATGCCCGCTGACCGATGCCCTGTCTGATTGCAGCCAGCATCGGTTCAGGTACTTCTCCTTCCTCATGAAGCACCGGTTCTTGTTCAAATCCGGATGAGGTTCTGCCGACCCATCGGTCGACATGAGGCTCTTGAAAAACCGTCAACTTCAGTCATCTTGGGGCAGCTGCACGTGACTCGCCACGCTGGCGATGATGGCGCCCGAGTCCAACCAGTCGCGGCCCTTGAAGAGCCCACCCTGGCGGAAGGACTTGCGTTCATTCTTCGCCTCGGAACATTCCGTGACCGAAGTTGAAAGAAGGGAACTCAAAGAGAATGGCCCCGGTGCGGCACCCGGGTGTCGTTTGAATGGCCCAAGAAAGGGGCCATAGATGGCCATAGGCCAAAAAGATTGAAAATTGGTTGCTGGACCCAGAAGTATCTAAGGACTCACCGCCATGCTGCAGCAACCCTAGGCATACTGTTTGTATCTTTTGGTCTATGGGTTGGGTTGATTGATGGTTGGCATGTGCTCACTAAACAAGACGAGAGACGAGAGACCCGAAACTACCCCAAATAAGATCAGCCGGGGGACTCTGAGAGGATCTGAGAGGTGTCACAGCTCGACTGTCATGAACACAAATTAAAGATTAATTACATACTTTCATGACTTTCCGTTGTGCGTCAGACCCCGGTCAAGATTGTCAAGCCGTGAACTCAGTTTACTTGAGAAAGGTCGACCATGAATGACCATGTGCCGAGGCCTCTTGCAAATCTGTTCTAATTATATAGGCCTAATTGGAACTCCGAATGGACGCTTCAGTTGGCCTAGAACCTCGAAAAAAAGGCCGTCCGGACGCCACATGAGGTTCCGCACGACACCACCCAGGTACCTGCGACGTCATGCCAGCGGCACCCTCGGCGACCCGCGCTGCGCGCCGCGGCGACCCGCGCCGCGGGCCAGAGCCGGCCGCCATGGCCGTGGTGCTGCGGCCAGCAAAGTAGCCTCGGGTGGATCCAGGACAACCAGTGGGAGTACCAAGAGAGGCAGATGGCATATGATGGCATGAGTTCAACGACTGAGATATTGGTTGAAGGATGTTGAAGACATGATCAGTAAGATTTGATTGTTTTGTATTGGAGCAGATCGGGGCACGTTCAACTTGCTGCATGGATGATCATGCACGCTTGTATATGATCTCCCTGTTAGGTGTTCGGGAAGTCAGGTGCGAGAAGCTAAAGTCAATGCATTCAACCACCCGGGGGGTTGGTGGTCTGTTTTCCCTTTTGGCAGGGAGTCTTTGGGAGTCCCAAATGATCCGAAGGGTACGTCGATGGAGTTGCCAGAGTGGACATGAAGCCATCTCAGTGGCTACAAGGCCAACCCTGACCCTACTGCGGCTTGGGAAGTCTCCAACCCTTAAAACAAACACCGGTTCTGCGTGATCGTAAAATGATTGGATTTTGATTGGAGAACGCTAGAAATCTGAGATCATCAAGTACAACCCGGTGCCTGTGGCATCATCTTCAGTTGCTCACCAAATATGTCTCTCTGGCCAAAATGTGATTACACGTCAACACCTTACACCCACGATGTACACCTGAACATGAACCAGTGCTACTCAGAACCATTCCTTGGAAAGAACCTGTCTTCGTTTGACACCCATGGATCCTCTTCGCCGCCATTCCAGCAGTCTGACCGCACCTTCGCCATCGGGGACCTCACAGGAGCCTCCGGTCCGACACATCGAGCCCATTCACTTGCCCTTCACATCTGCCCCAATTCGCCCATGCGTTCCACGGAGGTGAAAACCATGGATGCAACACAGCATGGACCACCATAAACTTGTAATGGACATTAATGGACCTATAATGTACCTGGAGAGAGAGAGAGAGAGAGAGATCCCCTCATCTCTCATCTGCATCCACTATACCAGGTTGAACATGTTGTATATAATTAATGGACATATTATATATTATATATAATATCTTTCCTATATATTATAGCAATAATATATATTATATTATATTGTATTTATATATGGCCTTATACAATCTAAACGCCAAGAGTTCTTCTTCAGTCCCCTCATTCTCCTTCAAAAGTCGCAAGATCTGATCGGGGCCTTGGGTCGCTCCCACGGACCGCCGCCCCGTGGGTTGTAACCAATCTCCGCCGCCCCGTGGACCGTCCGCGCCTCGCAGCCGCTCACGGCGTGGCACCGTCTCCACAAGATGCTCCGCGTAGGGCAGACCGGAAGCGCCACTGCCCCCGTGCTGGACCCACGGGCCTCCGCCAAGGTGACCGGTGACCCGCTGGTTGCGATTGGTTGCTCCACCAATATCCGTATCCATACAGGCCAGTGTTTTCTGATTGTGGTTGAGCTAGGAGATTTGGGGGCAACACCCAAAACCTACCAAAGTTGAAGCCATCCGTCGTAGTGGGCTGGTATTTCAACCCACCCAAAGTTGTTGAGAAATCAGGAGCACAACACATCCCAGTCTGTGGCCATCTCCCAACAACACCTGGACCTTTGGCTTTGGCGCAGCTCCGGCCGCTCCCGCCCCGCAGTCGGGCCCCGCCTGGAACGGACGTCTTTCGGCCCGTCCGATCCTTGTGCTCCTCGTCCCGCTCCCACAGGGTCCTGGCCAACTCGCACCCGCTGGGCCCGCGGATCCGCAAGACCCGTGGCCCGTGATCGTCGTGGTAGTGCGAATTAGGGAGTTCGTATCTGTCAATGAGGGAACACTCAAGACCAGTGTTCAGGAGCTCACCTCACACCCTCATGAATGGACTTTGGGCATGCTCAAGACACCTCTGTCATGGCTCCCCCCGGATTCTGCTTGACACTCCAACAGGAACGAAATGAAATGAACTACTGTGGCTGGGCGTGTCAAGCTACGACGAGCCATCGGATTCATGAATGAAAAACACATAAATACTTCAACGATCTTAAACGCTTGATTACTGGCAAAAAAACTGAAAAGCCCCGCTCTTAAGCGGATGCTTCGACAAATTTGAAGCTTTTTACAAGAACCCTTGGGGTGGCTTTACTCATGAACCGTGGACGTTCTTCGGCTGCCTCTTCCTCCGCCCCGTGGCGGCGTTCGAGCTGCGCCTCTCGCGCGGCCGTGGCTCCCGCGGATCGCTGGGACGCAGGACTTCCACCGCAGCCTGCAGCTGATCCATGCAAGATGAGAAAAAAGGGGGTCAGTGTTGGATGTAAAAACCCCAAGGAGAAACAAACCTCTGGCAAATCATTGCAAATCTCTTTGGGCTATTGCTTTCTGATTCCTATTAAGATCAAGGGTGTCAATAGCATCCCTTGTAGTGCAATTGCCCCAGAGAACGCTGAGACCAGTCACTTGAAACTTGGCAACAAACAACAGGACCTTGGATGCGGCCGGCTTCTCACGGCATCTCAGAGCTACTCCCCGAGCTGCGCCATGCGCCTGAGAGGCCTCGTGCCAAGCCACCGCGCGCCGCGCAGAAGCACTGGACACCAAGCGCCACTGCCTGAGCTGACCAGACCGGGCCGAGGAGGCTTCACCAACGCCTTTCCTTGGAAAGATGCCACAAACATTCGTGAATTACGTATGGTAGCTGGTAGCTCATGGGTGAATTGGAATGGACCACCCAGCCAGAATACTCCATGATTCGTACCCGGACCCCCCCAACTTCGATGACAAATTAGACTACAAACAAAGCCGGGTACAAAGCCTTGTAAGGTCTTGTGCACCGTTTGATGCATGCATGTATGGTCCATCGACCTTGAAGTGCTGCGAGCCACTCAGCCAAGGTCCGTCAACCATGTTCCATGGGTTCACCTTGTCATTTGGATGCCAAGACATGATAGGACCATGCATTGAAGTCTTTGAAGTGAGGCAATCTGCTTACACTGATAAGAACAGGGTTCCTTGTCAGCATCAACCAATCAACCACCACAGGAGCAAATAAGTTCATAACAAGAATCAGTTGCAGAATGCTAAACCCCAAAATAAACCTGGATTCTCAGAGGAGGCATGGGCGACCTGGTTCGAGGGTGCAAGGTTCAAGTTGTTGGCAAAGTTCCATTCCAGATCGTTATTAGGTGGAGGCCATCGCTAATGGAAACAAAGAAAAGAGAAAAGGAGGAAGAGTCTATATTATATAGTATCAGAAAAATCCCACGACTGTGAGTTCCTTCGAGCATTCCTTCCTGCTGAGTCTTCAGCAATAGGGACCAATATGGTGCTATCGAAAGCTTTCAGAGCTGTTCCCCTGATCGGCCTCTTACCCTTCCAAATGGATCATGAATCTGGTTTTATAGACTGACTCATCTGGTTTAACTTAACCTTGATTCATGTGTATGTCCTTGACCTCTTCTAGCAAGGATCCGGGATCAAATCGAAACCACCTCCCCCAGACCAACCCTGAAGCGAGCCCGAACATGCCTGAAATACTGGATCCAAGAACCCGCGCAGCCCTTTGCCTTCCAAACAAGTTGCACAATGGCCCGGTCGTCGCCCCCCGCGGTGATCACGTGCGTCGCGGACCACGGCGCGGCCGCCGTCGCCCCGTCGCCAGGCGAAGGCGGCAGAGGGACGGTGAGCATGGCCGCGACAAAGCCAGCGTGGCCGTCATACGTGTGAAATCCTGACCGCAGAATCGGAATGGTCAAGTCCACTGATCCACCGGGTCTAAATCAAGGAGCCGGGAGTCTGTGCGCATCCAAGTTCATCCTACAAGTACTTCTCACTAGCAGGCCGCTTGTGAGAGGATCGTCTCTAAAAGCTTTTCGTAAACTCTTCATGAATGTGCATTCAGAGAACGACCACCGTGCTGAAGTAAATGTGCTGAACTTAAATTTGCCTTTGCTTGCAAACTTACAAGGCAATCTTCTCTTCCCCTCCTTCTCCCCATGTTACCCATAAACCCATGCTTCTGAGAGCAATGAGCAGGAGTGGGAACTACATCCATGAGATTGGCAGTTACTTGCAGATCAATGAACCAAGCATTCTTGCAAATGCACAAGCTTCTAAAAATCAAGGTGACACCTCGCATAACTAGCCTTCATCCAACTATATATAAGTGAATCCAAGAAAGACCAAACCCAAGCAACATAGTACACCTCTGGTGGACTGCCCCATTCGATTCCACGGCAAGCCTTGATCGCAGCCTGAAGGGAAGTGATACAACTTCACACGGTGTGAGGTGTCGCCCGCCACAAGCAGTTGCTCCCCTGCGGCAGTCGCAGTCCATGACGGCGGAACCAAATCAAAGCGGTGGGGTGGAGCTTTTGCCCTCTGTTTTTGCTTCGATACGATCTCCAGGACAGGATTGGTGATCAGTGCCATTGACTGACTACTGTCCAGGCCTAGAGGTAGACTCTGTAGTTTGGTTGAGCAGGTGTCAAAGCCTCTAGCTTGCCAGAATCCTGCAAAACTTGCTCATGATCATCGAGGAGATTCTTGCCATATCAGGTCACATTTTGCGACATGCCCACCAATGGGCCGGCGCGTGGCCAGGCCTGTGGTTGCAAATCCCAAGGCTCGGCAGGATTTGATGTTGTGGATGCTGAAGTGGCGATGGGCTGCCCACATGCCCATCCTCAAAAGCAGACTTCGCTGCCGTCAACAGTTCTTGCGCCCTTTTCTAGATCTTGGAGGCCAGAAGTACACCTCCCCACATGCCATCACTTGCCCACTTGATGTTGTTTTCAAGAGACCTCCAAGCTTGTTCCACAGTTTCAGTGTCCCTCCCCATCTCAAAAGAATCAAAAAGAACTGATATCTCAAAACGGAAGACTCCCAAGTATATAATTGCCTTCTCTTCCCTTCTGCCAAAGGACTTGGTGCTTTGAGTCCCTCAAACCGCGCAACCTAGGAATGCCCGCCCTGTTGGCCCTCTGCGCCCTGGCGAACACTCTGAAAGAGCCAAGCATCGTATGCCAAGCGCATGGGCACGTCCAAACCTCCCATGGCAGGTCCTCGAAGAAAAGGATGTCCACGACATGTAGGATAGTCAGTGGCTACACGATCCAATCCACTTTCGTTGTGGTATGTATACGGTACGGTATAAGGTAAAGGTGGCCTTTACTCACAAATTGAAGGGTTAGAGTCCCCAGGCGGCCGGCATCAGAAACATGCTGGTACCTCTTCATTGATCAGCCTTCGGTCACTGCTCAGCGTTGAATCTTTGTTCAGCTTCTGCGCTGCACCTTTAAGAGGAGACCTTCCCCAAAATACTGGCTAGGCGGGGATCTAGTGGAGACATTCTATATATTAGGAACAAAGAGAAAGAGACTCAAACTTCCAGCAGGTTCGCTCGACCAGCACAGCACATGGCAGTTTGGTGCAAAAAAAAGGCTGTATATAGATGGTTTTAGTGACATTCTGGCCCCTCATGCCTGTGTGAGCATTGCGAGTAGGTTGGAGGCCATGGCTAGTACGCGTAGGTTGGAGGCCATCGCTAGTAGTTTGGAGACCACACCAGAAATCACCGCGATGCGGTCCTTGGCGGTTTCCTGCGTTACCCGCTCACCGGTGCCCAGATTGAAATAGAGGACCTGTCCACAGCAAAGGCTTTCGTCCGGAAGAGATGGAGTAAGGAGCATGGACGAACAAAGCCTTGAACATTTGCATTCTGTTGTGCGAAAGGCAATTTCTTTGTGAGAAGCTCTTAGAGCTTGAAGTCATCAACTTGTCAATGAGCTCATTCTGCGCGCCCACGCGCCCGCGCACACACAGACAGGCACACAGGGAGCGACACCAGCAACCCACGAAGACAGCGCGATTGAAAGGAATAACAGGGGGTCGCGACCCCCAAGTCATCTGCTCTGTCCAGCAACATCATGAGGCACCAGCTCTGTCCAGGCTGCCTGTCCATCCTTGGAGTTGGTCATCAGAAACTGGTGGTCCAGGGTGATCTGCATGTGAGTCACGGAACTCGTATTGCCTCCCAGGGGCATACCAAACCGAGGTGGTCTTTTGAGGTCAGGATACCATTCAGGAGTTTCAATTCTTCAGCTGCCAAACCATCCAGGTTCCCGAAAGCATCTCTGAGCTCTCAGCGAATGGCGCACGCCAATTCCGGCTGCCCCTCAGGAAAATCATGATCCGTAGGTTGGTTCTGAATTCGTGCGAGAACTCAAGATCAACTTCAATCACCCTGAAAATGAACAGAACAAGGTCCAGAAAATGTTCACATCACTTCCTTCCGGATGGCGCAGAGGCCAGGAGAGGGACTACGACTATCCGCACTTCCCAAAGATGGCGCACACAGTTTGTGCATCGAACTGCCTGCAAGCTCGGCTTGAGCAACAAACCCAGCACGCCAAGAAAACTCCACAGTCTCCCCCCGCCTTTCAAAACCCGCAAGGGCGAAGCGGGCTGGTCAGTGCTGAAGAGGTAGACCATCTGATCCCAGCTGCCCGCAGCTAGCATCTCATCCTGCGCCGTTGTGGAGCTACGCACTGTTCTCTTTTAAGGATGCCGACAAAAAATATGTGCAGTTAAGCCAGAACCTCAGCAACCTCCGTCCCTTGGATGGGCATTTCGTCGCAAAACATCAAAACAGGGCCCCCAAAGCTCTCCCTCGTTCGATGATTATCTTCACTTGCCGAACAGAATCTTTCCCATCCCGTCTAACCCACCAGTCCCCCACGAAGGCGAGCGCCGCCAGGCGCTCGCGCCCGCAACGGACGGGCGCGGCAAGCGGCTGCAGCTGCGGGAAGCGCAGCCAGTGCAGGCGACCATTGCCGAAGCCACACGCCAAGAGCGAGCCCGAAGGATTGAAGGCCATTGAGTAGATGCCCCTAGGACCGGTCTGCATCGGTGTCAGGACGACTGTACTCCATGTTATCTCTTCACCCTCCAGCCGGTGATAAGCTACACCGTTGAGCATGTTGGGCCGGACCGGACCTGGAAGGATGAGTCATTCGACCGAATGGCCGGGACTTGGCCGCTCGACCGAATGGCCGTTGGGCGTGCTTTCTGTTTTGAAAAGAACTGCAATCAAGTTACAAACATAAACGGAGGCTTTTCATGCAGCCAGGATAAACATCTTTTCTGTGATGCCGAGAACTTGGCTATCTCGGTTGATCTGGCACGCAAAACAGAACCAGCGTTTCATGGGCAAATCAGACCCGGCACCTGCCAATGCGTGAAATTCCTTTTCAATCCTTTTCATACGAACTGGGGACACAGTGAACTGGCGATCTCTTGGGCCTGGTTTGTTTGATCGCTGCAGGATGGACTCTCCATACCGACCAATGCGGAGGCCCCCAACCAATTCTGCTACACTACACATGCCTTTTGTCTTTTGTCCAATCATGTTCTATCATGTTCCATCACCCAAAACTATCACATATGGATCATACGGGTGACTGGGTGACATACTTCAGGACATAGAAAATCCACCACACCGGGACTAGAACGCTAGAGGTCAGTCGCCCCATGCCCTTGTCACCGGTACAACCTCCCAACCGACCCCCGCTAAACGACCCTCGCCCGGCTACGAGCTCTTTGCTCCATCGCCCTCCTGAAGGTTTAGGACTCGGCCCACCTCGGTCCACACTCCACACCGATGAAAATGCATCTTCTGGGGATCACAGCCGTCACGAGTCCCGATCAATGACCAACGACGGGCACACGACCGATGGGACTGACATGTTTGCTCCATGGGACTGGTTTTAGGGGTGAATGCAGGTAAATGTTCCGTACATGGAGTATATATCTGGGTATTTCGGGGTCACCTTGAAACTCCGATTGCACAAAACCGCCCATGATCAGACCTCGAAGCCTTTTTTTGCAAGTGGCTAGGGGCAAGTTGAGTTTTGGATGGTTTTGGATGGTGTTGTGCAATCCGTCCGCATGAACCCACCTAAAACACCAACATCCCTTCAGCCGAGGTCTTCCATGTCAAACCCGGTCAACTCCCATGGTCACCGGAGGGAGTTGACCGTGGTCACCCTGCCAAACATGGGGGCTCGGACCCTCCGCCAAGTCAATCATAACACGTTTTGCAGCCTCCATCTCAACTCCATCCTCCGTGCTCTGACGGAGCTTGGGTCCATCCTTCTCCCCCTCACGTCCAGTCGCCACGGGGTGATTGTCCCGAAGATCCCAGAAGCGCACCATGGCCTCGGGGCCCACAAAACAACAGCGGGCGTGTTTTTGGGTATCCATCTGTCCGGTTGAATCTCGATCTCGGCTGCCTTCGTCGAAGAGGCTGCTGTAGCTCTACTGGAAAAGCCTACTGTATCTATCTGTATCTCTAGCTCCATCCAGCAGCCTTCCACCGACTGGGGGAAGCAAAGGGAGTTGTGCCTGGACGTTCCAAACCCAATTTCTACAGGGCTCGTCTAGAGTCTACATCCTCTGCCGAGCAACATCAGTGGCGCCCGAGGCCAACAACTTCAGCTGAAGGTCCGGGTGCAGCGCCAAAGCATGGAGCTCACCTTGGTGTGAGACCTGCAGCAGCTGCTTCACCCTGCAGGCATGGTGAAGAGACTTGCGGATTGATTTGGATGGATCGTGGAGCGGATCCGTCACAAAGTTGCAGTTCATGCTGCTTCAACATGCTCAAGCCACAGGCTTTGGGGTTGGTTGATCATTCCGCTGCTTTTTTGCACAAACTTGGAGGAGGTTTGAGCGGTCGGAGTCGGCCCAAGGGGGTGCAAGTATGAAGCAGCTGCATCAAATATACTGTACCAGAATTGGAAACACCGAAATGAATTTGAACCCCAGCATGCCTGCGTCCATCTGCATCCAGCATTATGAGGTGATGATCATCAGAACCTCGGAAAGAGGCTCAAAAATGTATCTGAATATAAGCAACATCAGTGTCCACCCAAACTCACCAAACTATAGAACTGAACGACTACCGTTTAAAAATGTCTAAAGACATCGACCGATGTAAAGTGACATCTGTGCCATCACACACTGCGACTTCAGTCGCACTGAAGTCGCACTTATGCGGCATGGCCCAACACTCCATTGGTTCTGGCCATTTATATATATATATATATACATCCTTTGACCTTTACAAATCCTGCCCAGCTCGTGGAAAAGTGCGTTTGCATCGTCTAAATTCAAGGAGTGGAGTTCATGATTATTCAATACTTGGCAAAAAGACCTGCTTCCATGGTGTACTCTTGTTGACACAGATGAGTCCCTGTAATTACTGTGAAGTCCTGAAGTCTTCACTGAATTTATCCCTGGTCCTGTTCTTCCATCAGCCTCATCCAGTCGCGCCACCCACCAACACCCCGGCATTGCTGGCCGCCGCGGTGGCCAGCGGTAGGGGCCCGTTGAAGACTGCGGCGCCCTTCATCTGCGCAAAAGGCACCGAGGAGGCCTACAGCTTTCTGCAGGAGCGCTCCGCAGCGAAGCACGAGCGGAGTTTCGACAGGCGAGAATGCTGATTTCAACCGACGAGGAAGGACAGGGCCTTTCCGATGATAAATTCTCGTGCTGGAACAAGCAAAACTATGCAAATTCACGCAAATTCAACATGGTCCAAGCAGCCACTTCCATGTGTTTTCCGCACACGTTGACAAAGTGAAGGACCTGAAGCTGGGGAGGCGACGGCTCGGCTCTCTCGGCTCCGCACCTCCGGTACGGCGGAGGTCGATCGGCGACTGATCTAAGCATGTCCAACTGTCCGTTGGACCTACGGACCTATGGCCTGCAGTGAAAAAAGACGTGTTGATGGACACTCCCTGTTTCCAGGACTCGATCATGCTAGGATTGTGAATCCTTGGAATCTGCAGAGATGCTTCAACCGTCAACCTGTCAGACATGTGTCCTGTCGCCAGCATCTTGAACCGCGTTCCGTTCAGTCCAGTTCGGACTGCTCTAGAAACAGTGTTCATCATCGAGTGTTGCCTTCAACTGGGCCCCACACAAAAAGACTAGCTAACCAAAGTCTAGAGTCTAGGACTCAACATGTTCATGTATGAATCCTGGTGTATTTATCAAGGGGTCTCTCACTGAGCTCCTAACTCTTGAGCGTCCTGTCAGTGAATGTGCAAAGCGTAAACCGAATCAACCAACAGTCAGCCAGTGCAACGGTTTTCCCAACACGTGCAAAATCCACTGTAGATGGAACAAGTCCTGTCAAATCATCTTCCAATGTGTTACAGTAGGTGACTGTTAATTCACGACCATCCATGCACTGGGCGATACAGTACCAATTTGAAGTTGGGAAAAATGTCTGGAAAGTCTTGCAAGAACTCAGTCTTCACTAGAATCCTGCTGGGGCGATCCACAAAAGTTGTCCATTTCAGTCTAGCTTGGCGCCTACGTCTAGCTCTCCCCCTCGGACCTCTCTCCAAAGGGCTGAGTCTTTGCCGCCCGCCAAAAGGCCATCTCTCAATGGCACCGCAAAGCCCAGTGCTTTCCCCGTCAGCCGTCGGCTGCACACGCAGCTGTTGCCCTGCGCAGGGGGCCCAACGGGGGCCATGCCAAAACCGTAAAGTGTAATCAGCTTCTAGCTCCCTTCGTAGCGATGCCCTTGTTACTAGTAGCTTCCAGCTACTAGTAGTCGTAATGCCCTTGTTACTAGTAAAATTAGAGGTGGAAGGGGATGAATATGCAACTTCCTGGGGAATGAATGACGCCAAGCCTTGCGAAGTACTTGTTTGTTTCCGGAATTCATGCATTGAGAATTTCCAACTTGAAATCCGACGTTCCTCTCTGCACCCTCTGACTCTGGCATTTGTTAACTAGATCGAGCGATGCAACATCATGTCCACAAATTTGGTTCGCCCGCCCTTTAAATAGCATATAGACATGGTCCTCTTGCTTCCCTTTCCATGAACAGTACTGTAATGTCATGTAACCAACCCTTTTCTGGACTGTTTCTGACGAAACAGGGGATATTCAACAGTCAACCTATGTCAACCTTCTCTTTCGATTTGATGAATAAAGCAGTCAAACCTCTCACGTTCTCCCTCGCTCCGACTCGCTCCTCGAAGAGGTAGAGCTCCCCATGGTCGCCGCAGGCTATGCATCGCTCCCCAAGCCACGCGCAGTTCAGCACGTGCCGTGGGGCGGCATCCGGAAAAATGGCCGCACGGCCATAGAGTTCCTCAAACAAAGGGGAAGTAGCGAACGAAAAAAGCGACCCGGACTTCTTTTAAGTGAGGGTCAAGCCCTTGCATGTCCAGGAGAATCTGGATGTATTTTTAGGGCAACAACTGGAAGGATGTGCCATTTGCAAACCAGAACTCTGTGCTCACCTTACTACTTGGAGCAAGCGAAGTCAAGTGTTGTTCCAGACTGCCACGTGCAAAATATTGGAGGATTCCACACCAAGGCCAGGGGCGGCCTCATCCGTTGCCTCATGTTCTATTTGAAAGCATTAGCAGTGAAACAAAGCCCTCCAAAAAACACCCCAAAACCGCGACGCAGGCGCAGCGTTGTCCCCCACGGTGAAGAACTTCAAGACAATTCCGATGGTGCCATGGCCTCCGGGACTGCTGTAATTGAAGGAAAGATCAACAATGGGAGGTGAGGGATTGCCCATGATTTGTCTCTGTTCCGTAGATGTGGGAATGCATTGTTCCGTAGATGCGCAGGAAAAGGATGGAAAGGGTTTGGTGAACTCATGTGTCCCTCACATATTTTTCTGCTCTGGTATGTTCAGGCGGGATAAGGAAGGGTGTCCTGTAGATGGCTGCCACAACTAGCCGTCTTGTGTGGAGAAGCCCATCATGGCATTTCCACTTGCATGCCCCTTGTACCAGGCCCTTGTTACTGAGCTGAAAGCTGAGTTCAGAATGTGTGTTTGGATGCACCAATAGCCCAATCAAAACAATTTGAGCACCTTGACTCTCTATAAGATCAAGCCCAGCCTTCCAATTATCCCGGCAAGAGACCCCCGAAACAGTGGCAAAGGAGCACACAAGAAAATACACAGAGGAAATGGCAGACCTTTATTGTTGTTGCGTTGCTAAAACAGTGAACTTTTCTACGATCTCCTCGTGAAACCGCAGAAGGTGCGGGGCGTGCAGGGAACAAAGCCTTCCTTACTGTGCCTGGGTGAAGTAAGTGCCTGGACCTGACCCGGCCGAAAAAAACATTGATTCGGCTGATTGGCTGCAGCTACATTCCTGGTGAACCTCCTCCCTTTTGCATCAAACTGGAGGGAAATCAACTTTGGCAGAATTTCGATTAAGCCAAGCTGGTAGGGAATGCTGGTGGCCTCCTCTGCTTGCTCCCCTGTGCCACAAAGAGCAGGGCCAACGCCGAATCCCAGCTTAGAACCCTGAGAGTTGTTCCTTCTGGACCGCACTACTCCGATCAGAACTGCCGGGCGGGCCCGCACTGATCTGCCTGCGTCAAAGATCGCGATCTTCACTTCGGGAACCGCGTTGCAACTGGCCATGCCGAAAGCCGGCACTTTGCCGGTGGCCACCTCACAGACGGTGTGCGAAGCATGGGCATTGAACATTTGGGTGGCGATCGCATCGGAAACCAGCCGAGTGTTCGAGTAAGGCATGGCCCATCATGGCCCCCCAAACCATGATGGGAAGCCATCAGCTATCAGGGGTTGCAGGTTGGATCAGGAGCGATTGGTTCTTGGTTGCGCCTTGGCCATCGGTGTGCGGTAGACCTTAGGGAGCTCCATCGTAGCGCTCACGCTATTGCCCATCTTTGGCAAAAAGTTCTCCCACATGGCCAAGGTGCTGGCAGAGTCCTTGCAGGCGCTTTGAGCACTTTTACCCTTACCTCCGGAAAACTGTGATGGAAGTAGAGAGAAGTGTGGGTGGACAGGCGGATGGGATCATGAACCTAGAGTGATTGAAAAAGAAAATATGGAAAAGAGATGAAAAGAGTGATAAAAGGCCTTCCAATTAAATGTGGACTGGAAGGTGGCTATTTAATAAGGACTTCAATCTTCCTGAAGTTGCCCTTGATGGTACGGATGCTTTCTGCGGTGTTTGTTCCGGAGGAGCAGATCATTCACCCAGTGATGAAATGTCAAGCAACAAACCAGGATGCACCGAAGCAAGTCTGACTGGTTTCACATCCTATCTATCCATCTCAACGAGATGGTTCTTTGTATCCCACTATATAAGGCCCCCCGGTGATCACTCGAAGCAATGTACAGTAATCAAAACGTTACCTTTATGATCGTTTTATAAATAATTTGTTGATGTCTCCACACAGCAGAGAGCAGGCTTGAAGCTCGAAACTTTGCCAAATGTCATGACGCACGGCCAAAGCCCACCCGATCCACCCGTGCATCATCCTCACTGCTCACTCTTCACAAGTCATAAGGGGTGAACATCACACACTCCAACCGCGAGCTAGGCAGCTAGGTGGCAGCTAGGTGCTTCTGTACTGCTTCTTCCACCCGCTAATGTCGCGGCCCCTTTGCGCCCTCGACCGGGCCGCCCGAACCCCCGGTCACGCGACCGGTGTTGAACCTCCCCGACCGATCAGACCAGCAGCACGACCGATGCTGAAGAGCTTGCTACCATCCGGGCTAAAGCATAGTGAGCAAATCTGCTCCTGCCAACACAGGCTCAGATCTGGTAGGATCTGGTTGGGTGAGGACAAGCATGTTTGTTTTGCATAATCCAAAGTGTATGTCTCGTAAGGTTTTACAGTGAAACCTCGTGAGGCATGCATGCTCAATCCTGATTAACGGGGGAAGAAAAAAAGGACACACACGACCTTCCGAGCCGATACCAAAGTCGCACCCAACCCTTGCACACGAAGGTGGAGAACCGACGCAACCTCACGTCGGCCTGCGCTCGAAGCACCCGGAGTCACTCACGAGATGTCAAGGGGGTCTCCACGAAAGATGGGAGAGTCCCTTCAAAGCCTCGTGCATGCGGAAGACCAGGACGGACAGCAAGATGCAATCTGCTGGGCGCCAAAGACAAATGAAGGGGCCTGGATCACAGAACGGGGGCGATGTGTCAAACCACGCAGAATGCGCGGCAGAACGTGGGCAGATCTGGACATGGATCTGCACTGAGAAGTGCAGTGACTTGAATAAATAAACAAATCTGCCATGAGCCATCTACAGTGCACATCACCTATATGTAGATTTATATAACTATATCTCTGCATATCTCTGCAGTTTTCTTTCAAGAACACGGCCTCTTGATTGGGCTCGTTGAGAGAAGACTTGTTGAAATGAATTGGCTCTTCATGGTTCTTGTTCCGCCAAGCATAGTGGCACCGATTGGACAAAATACTACAGAAGCATGCAAAGGGAACTGAGTTTTTGGATGGACAGAAAGACATGATAAGACATGTGTCGGATCAAATGCGCCAATCCAGAAAAGCAGGGCTTGATCCCGACGGACGAAAGCGTGTTCCGAGACCACCGGTCTGCGCAGCTCGAGCTCGGGGCCTGCGCCGCCCTTCGGATCCATCTGACCAGAGGCGCACAGGCGCGAGGCAGGGCAATAGCTCAAGCAGGTGATCCTTAGAGACAGAGCACGTGCTGGGCGCGCATGGCTGAGCCATGCGCTGGGCGCGCTGATGCGCGCTGCACGTCTCCTATGGTCTCTTCAGTTCCGTGACCGAGCAAAAGGAAAGAGCGAGCAAAAGCGGCATCCAAAGTTGTAGCCGTCGACCGCTAAGAACCAAAGGATTGAATTGAAGAAAGGTGGATTCAAACCACCAAATGAAATGCTTGGCATCTGCTGTCTCTGATACAGTAAGTAAGCAAGTTAAGCAAGATGTTCTGACCATTGAACTTTGGTGAGGGCCCCGAAGGTCAATATGGTCAAGAAAGAAAAGCATAAAAACAAACGCAATGTGATATGATGTGCACTTCACTCAGAGAAACTGAGTGCTTTCTATTACATATCATATATAGAGAGAGAGTTTTTTCAGTCCCGCTTCAACCAGCTTTGTGCATACGCTCGACAAGCATCCGCTGGCTGTGGCCGACGAAGATCCGCTGCTTAGCCTCAGTATCCCAAAGAGTCTTGCGACTGTGGAATATCTAGCAATCAATTTGTCCAAGTACTACCCAAGGTCAACCCCTGAACCATGTCCACAGCCACAACTTCTAGCCAGGGAGCAGGCTTCAAGCGTTGGACCACGCCCAAAGCGGCTACACAAAAGACAAACTCCTCATCCTGGGCAAGCCAAGAATCACAAGAAATGCTTCGAGATGCTTGCCGAACATGGATGGTCTTGGAACAATCCATTGATAAATCCATCGCATCCGGCGATCAAGGGAGCCTATAGCTAGGTCACCGAGAGAGCTCCCTCCCCCCAAAACAAGTGGACCCAGCTCAGCCAGGCACAGAGATCCAGTGGACCGCGTTCACCACCTGCCCATTGTAGCCATGGGCCCACTCGACTTGCAATTGGCTTTGTGGAGGAGAACGATCCTGGCGGAGAAAGGAGAAAGGAGGAGTCTGGAAACGAAGGTCTGGTTCAAATTGCTCGACGCCTTGACACAGAAGGGGGAAGAAGGAGACGGTTGGTTTGAGCACAATAGTAGATACCCCAGGACCTGCAATACAAAGTAAGGGCATGTGACTGAGCGGCCATTTATTTGGCCAATCGGGTTGTGTGAGTTCCTCAATCGCGTTGTGTCGGGTTCCCATTGTGTTAACCACAACCCGAAAGGCTCACAATCGAAACAAGAGTGATCCTTTGGTACTGATCACATTTGGATACATTTGGTCTCTTATAAAGACAGTAACACTTGTGTCCAACTCCTTGCATTTCCAACTCCAAACTCTTCCCTTCCGCGCCTTTGTCCCGACGTCCTCATCCAGGCCACTGGGTGCCAAGAGCACCGTGGAGCGCTGACCAAGCCAAGCACGTGTGGAGCCTTTGCCTCGTAGCCGGCCCATCCTGCCTGCCCAGGAGCAGACTCTGAGGATGAATTCTCTACGCAGAAGTGAGATGTGGAGAATGTGGGGGAACAGGCCCCAGCACGGATGATCATCCCACTCTCGTGGGGGTTCATGAAGCTTCATGGTTCGAGGTTTGAGAAAGGAAGGAAGTCATCCCTCCCAAAAGGAGAGTGGGAAGCTAGCTGAATGCTCGAGTATGACGCTCATTATTGCAAGATATTGCAAGGTTTCTTAGCTGTCCACAACTGTCCATTTACTTGGCAACATTGCTTTTTTGAATCTACACTGTGCATCAAAGTAGTGTTGAGTGGGCATATTAGACTATTATATAGGCTTAAGAAAGACTTAGATGAAGGGCACGCTCCATAGAGACACGCAGCACATCCCCCTTCAGGGATTCGGATTTCAGCTTCAACACAAATTCCATCTCTTTCCACCCCGCCAAATCTGGGGCAGCATGGCGGGTTTGCGCCAAAAACCCGACAGGTGAGCGGTGTTCAAAACCTCCTTATAACTTGCAAGGAAACTATAAACTCTTGCGCGAAAACCTTGCGCGATGCTTACGCGACCGCAGTGGGAGCTTGCGCAGGGGCTTATCTTCAACTTTTGCTTGCGCGAGCTTGCGCTGAAATAGGCTTTGCTATTTTTCGTGTGTTTTTTGCTTGCACGGTGTATGCCCGAGCTAGCCGGAACATGGAAGTTCCTCGCAAGCTACATGTGAATGAGACCGTTCTATTCGGACGTTCCGAGCAGAATCACTTGGCAAGTGAAAATGAGGAAGGCGAAGTGGAGCTACGAGGCACGAAGACGACCGAGCCCTGACAATAGTTTAGATGAAAGATGCGTTAGTGAGCTTTTCTTCGAGTCCCGTTCTTTGACGTTTTTTGTGGGGAGTGGGGTGGGCTAGGGCACTTGCGGCTTGCGCGAACCTTGCCCGAACCTTGCGCAAACCTTGCGCGAAAATGTCCGTATGTCCAAATTCTGAACCAAACAGTGTATGTCTGATTAGTATACAGTAAGTCATAATAATGTAAATAATGTCTGTCATACAAACAGGCAGTCATTCAAGCACTATAGTGTGAAGCTTACACAACCTTGCGCAAACAGAAGGCCTTGCGCGAACCTTGCGAAAAGCTTACGCGCGTGTGGTCCCATGCAAGTTTTGAAATAATAAATTCCCCGAAAGACTAAAGTTCTTTACCACCGGTTTTGAACGCGGCTCAGGTGAATTGCATGCTGGGTCTCGCGTCGCACCGGGAAAGGGGGGAGAGCATGAAAGGCCGTGAATTGCTGATGCACGCAATGGAACAGTGAAGTCAATGCCAACATCACCCCAACATATACCGCATTGGCAGGCCTATGCAGGATGCAGAGGTCGCATCCCCGGCGGCCCGAGGTTCCACATCCCCGACTTGGGCCAGTCAAGGGGCGAGGCCATCCACTGGAAGCTCCATGATCAGCTGGGTTTGGACGCGCAGTCAAGTGAGATGGCCTGTCCTGGGTAAGCTACTAGTAGCTAGAAGCTGCTGGGTGGAGCGATTGCTATTAGGGTGGAGGCCATTACTACTAGTAACAAGAAGCTACTAGTAGCTAGAAGAAAGATGGTGTCCATTCCCACTTCTGCACATGCACATGAACCGCTGTTGGAGTTGTGGTTGGGCAGATGAATTCCATGCTTCAATAGCAAACATGCAATATTATACAAATATATTGCATGTTCATCCGAATTGAAACAAATGATATGCTCTCAATAAAATATCCTCCCTCTTCCATCCTCTTCCCCCACCTTTGGACTCCACGTGCCCCTGTCGTACATGTCACCCATCCCCCACCACTTCACTTCACCGCCCAGGCGCCGCTTGGCGGCGCCCGAAACCCCCCCGCCTCTCCGGCATCATCTCGAGGCCCCCGAAGACGCACTCGGTCGAGCCCACCTGCCGCACGAAGCCCACGTCGCAGGCGTAGTCCGCCTGGTGCCCAAAGTCTGGCGGCGCGCGCAGCCGCGCGGGCGGGGCTGGCGCGCCCCGAATGAAGAACCCCAAAGGACTCTGAACAAAGGTCTCCAAGAGGAACCAGGTGCTTTTCGGCATGTGGTGGGAGTTGTTGAGTCTTTTCCTCTGCCAAAGGAGTTGCAGTACCTTGCCCAAGCCGTTCTTTGAGTCGTTCTCCACCAATGGTGCCCATCAGCATCATGAAAATATACTAACTATGAACACGCCTGGGATTGCCTGGTTGTGATTTCCCTTTCTGTTTCCCTTCTGTGCCGAAGTACCAGTGATCCACTCCGATCCTTTGGTGATACAGTATTTCCACGGATGGTCAACCGCCCAACGAACCTCCGTACATGCGCAGGTCTTCTTCACCGTTGGGCGTTCGAAGGCCTGGGCAAAAAAGGGGAATGGGATGAAAACCGATTTTAAAATAAATATAACAATGGCGGCGCAAAGGATTGCAAAAGCAAAGGAACACAGCATCTGTAGTCTGTAGAGTCTGTAGCGGTCTAATAGCAGCTGTTCCTGTTGCAGGAAAGGTGCTGCTTCAGTGGCTCAACAGCTGTTGCTGCAGCTGTTGCGGCTGTTGTTGCTGCTGCTGGTGTTGGAGTCTTCTCTGTGAAACATGTGCTGTACAACTTCTTTGCCAAAGGGTCGCAAGAACAGGAGATTTCAAGATGTTTCAGAATACCCGGGACAAATGGTGGTTCTATCATGTTCTTTCTCATTCTCCAGACTCGAGAAACCTCCATCCATCCCAGTCCGACCAAGTCGTGGAACGTCGTCGGAACCCCGACGCAGGACTTCGGAACGCGCCGCTCGGCCTCACCATTCCAGCACTGCGAGGTCCGCTTGCGACGAGTGTAGGTGATCTGTCAGGATGGAATGAGGAACGCTGCCAGGGCGTTCTCTGAATGTGAAAATTCGCATCTTGACAATCTTGTCACGGGTCTTGGATGGTGTTGCGGCTCCAACACCAACACCCCGTGCTACGATACAATCTCGATAGTAAATGCCAAGTGTGGGAAGCCCATGAAAAGGGAGTAAATGGGTGGTAGAGGCAATCAGCCAGTGATTTAGAGAAGTACGGTGCCCTCCACCTCAACTAAAACACATGTGCTTACATTCCGATTAAACGCAGCGACGCAGTGTGACTGCGCTGCTAGAAACACCCCGCAACAAGACTGGTCAAACCCCCAACGACCCCAAGCAACGATGCCGAAAAAAAGGCAGTCTGATATTCATTGAGTCCCAGGAACACCATGTTTCAAAAAACGATAGGCAAAAGCCGAGCTTCACCACTGTTCACACCACTCAGCTGGGAGAGTCGCTTCCACCTTCCCAGCCGAGTCGCGTCACCCACCGCCGCGCCTGCTGGCCCAACATGCACCGCTCTGCACCGCGCCCGTCGGAGGCCGTCCAGGTCTGCCAGAGTGCAGGTGGCGGGGAAAGGGCCCAGTGAGTGGTACTAGTAGTGATGCCCTTTGTTCCGTTCGTAGCGTCCTCTTGCTCCTAGTAGTAAGGCCAGGAGCCCGGATCGTAGCGCCCTTGCTCCTAGAAGCGATGCACTTGTTACTACTAGCTTCTTGCTACTAGTAGTGATGGCCTCTACCCTAGTGGCGATGGCCACCTAAGAGCGATGGCCTCCAACCTAGTAGCTTCTTGTTGCTTTGCAAAGGCAGTTCGTCCAGGTCTCAGTTCTCCAAAAGACTTATTGTCGAGTGTCCGTTGTTCGGCCGTCTAGGTGGGTGCGTTGTGCACCCACACAGTGGCAACCAAGCTGGAAGCAAACGTTGTTGGGCCAGTGCTGCCTCTAAAAACTCATGCTGTGAGAGGGAAGCTGCTCCGAGATCTACACATCCAGCACTTCCATTATACATCCACTTATTGTGTGCATTTCACACGTTAATCTGGATGGTAGATCTCAGCTCATCTATACCAAGTCAAGCAGCCCTTCCCGAAAATTTGTGAAATTTCTACGGCGCATGCAATCACATGCAGCTGTCATGCTTTTCTACAGCCCAAACTGCTCAATGGCATCCTTGCCAGTGTACAGCTCAGCCGCAATGATGCCGATAGCCGCAAACATCGCAAAGCGGCCGTTATTGATCTCTCGCTCCTCAGTTGCTTTGACTCCAGAGGTAGAAGATGGTAGAAGCATATTGCAAAAAGTCTTTGGGCCATGATTGAATTGTGCTTCTGTTTCTTTCTGTATGTTTCCGTCATCAGAAAATTGTCCGGGAAAGTGGGACATGGGCCTGACTAATCATAATGGACAAACCCTATACCCTATATAGATGAAGCAAGTTACACTCAACTACACGGTGAGTTCAAAATGCAATGCCTCCCTGTGAATGAGGCCAGCCAACCCAAATGCCCAAATGCAGCTTAGCCACCCTCCATTCCTGGTTGTACTGGCTGAAGCCCAGTGGGTCACCAAAGTTTCCTGGCTCCTTGTTGTCGCCCTCCGTCCAAGCACCAAGCTCCAAGATGCCAGCCAAGGCAAACAAAGCCACAAAGCCATAGCTTCCAGGGCCTGTGATGGAAGCAGCCAGGCCGCTTGGCACCGACTCAAAACCAGGAAACTTCACATAGTGTTGCGCAACTGCTCCAACAGCTGCCATCATTGCAACACGGCCATGCTTTAGTTCAGCAGCACGAAGTTGGCGGAATGTAGCCTCGTCTCCCTTCTTGCACAAGCCAGCCGGATCAAAGTAGCCCAGTGGGGCCATGGCACCAATCTGAGTACTAGGGTCGAAGAAGTAACTTCCCGAGCCCTTACCAGCAACACCTGTCCCCTTCTTCAAGGATCCAACACCAGCTGAACCTGCCACAGCCGAGGTTGTGGCAGTCACTCCTTTAGCTGCTGCAGCTGCCTTGGCAGCAGCTGCTGCTGCAGCGGCTGCGGTTGCAGGTTCCGCACGTCGCGCAACACGTCCACGTCCAGCAGCAACAGCTCCGACCCCTGCAAGGCCCATCAATGGCAAAGCACTGCCGAATCCCTCAGATGGTGCAGCCTGTGTAGCTGAAGCGCCACGCAGCTTTTGCACTGCTTCATTGTTCACCATGGGTCCAGAAGCGCTTGGGACAAAAGCCTGCGAGGCCACGTAGCCCCCAGCAGCAAGGCCAGCGGCCGCCAACATAGAGTTACGAGGTGCCATGGCTAGCGTAAGGAGAGAGAGTCGAGCGAGAGACTACAAGTGCAAAATGCTTAGCGGAAGCAAGGATTGGAAGCAAACACATCAGAAATGCTGAACACTGACAGAACTCTGCAATGGCCCTCCACGTAAAAAAAGAACAGTATTTCTGCAGGCAAACAAACCACATATTGATCAAACAGTTCGAACTGGAAATTGAACAACTCAATGACCGATTAACTGTACTTGCCACAGTCTCAGCAGGCTGTCTGCATTTGCCTAAGCAAAGTCAATATGCAAGTCTTTGTGGGTGCGTTGTGAACCCACACAGTGGCAACCAAGCTGGAAGCAAACGTTGTTGGGCCAGTGCTGCCTCTGAAAACTCATGCTGTGAGAGGGAAGCTGCTCCGAGATCTACACATCCAGCACTTCCATTATACATCAACTTATCATCTGCATTTCAACCTGGATGGCAGATCTCAGCTCATCTATACCAAGTCAAGCAGCCCTTCCCGAAACTTTGTGAAATTTCTACGGCGCATGCAATCACATGCAGCTGTCATGCTTTTCTACAGCCCAAACTGCTCAATGGCATCCTTGCCAGCCACAATGATGCCGATAGCCGCAAACATCGCAAAGCGGCCGTTATTGATCTCTCGTTGGCTAGAAATAGCGTGAAATACCTTGTGAATCCTTTTGACACCTCACTTGGACATCCGATAGCCATGCTTTTTTAGTCTGTCATCCACCAAACATCCGGGACCACCGGCCTCGTAATCGGAGGACACCGAGTCCGCGAAGCCGCTGCCACGGCAGGCGGGGAATTGCAACCTGGAGGCCGCGGCGGGGGTGATGGAGTGAGGCTTGTAGCGTCCGATCGCTCCTAGTAGCGATGCCAGGAGCCCCGTTCGTAGCGTCCGATCGTTGCTAGTACTAAGGCCAGGAGCCCCTAGTAGCTTCTCGCTACTGGTTGTTGTCGGTTGGAGGAAATGGCGATTGAGTCGATTTCCTGCCTGGTGATTGGGGTTCTTTGGGCAGGGCTCCCGCACCCTCACCCTTCAAATCGAAAACAGCCATGGTATTTCGTGGTAGGGCAAGTTCCGGATAGCAATTTGTCAGGCAACTAGCATCGGTTAGGATACGTGCGTATAATCAGTTATAATCAGTAGTAGATTATAGATAAATTACTGTATAATACTGTATATAACTAAAAATGAAGAATTCTAGCACCTGAAAAGGACAGTTACATGAAATTACTCGCTGCTTACTAGCTGTTCGATGCTTCTCGGGTTTTCTTGGTGGAGGATGGATCCTTTCTTTCCCCAACATCTGGGTCTGAAGTGGCAATGTGCTGACTGCGGAAAATAACAACAGTGATCTCAGCTCTCTCTCTCTCTCTCTCACAGTGATCCGAGATCGAAGGATAATTGAAAAAAGGCATTGCCCATGTTCAAGACCCTGTTCCCCTGCAAAGTTGCCAAATCTTCCATACGTTCCAAACGTTTTATGATTTATACGCGAACGACCAGTAGTGCAAGTGAAATCGTTCCAACCGTCTCAAAATATGGACAATAGGAAGGATCTTTCTGCCATGTGGACATCTCCTACAGTATCGACTCTCAAAGTGCAGCTGTCTGTGAGTCCTCTAAGCCTCTGGCGAGTCAAACTTCAGGTAGTACAACACACCAGCACCATCCTTTTGCACTGGACACGGATGTCGGCCACGCTGAACAAAGAAGGGGTTTAATTCGCATTGGCTGGGTCCGGGCTGTTGCGATAGGAAGGCCACCAAGGTCTTCCGGAAAGGAATTCATAGTAGATCATACTATCAGGGACTGGCAAACTCGAATTCTAATATGGAGTAGATAGATACCATGCTAGAATCATCTGTTGCAAAGTGATGCAAAGTGTGCAACTTCAGCCCAGCACCAAAGTGTGGAATACGTTCGCAACATCCTCAGATCCACTGAGGGTCACTAAGGCCTGAGTACATATATACTTGTTGCTTAGAGCTGGTGAAAACAGGAGCCCTGTCTGCAGACTCACGCCACCCCGCCAGGACGAGTCACCACCACAACCAGCACCTTTACCGTCAACCCTCTTACCCGAATCTCATGGAAAAAGGTGCGAAAGATTAAAAATCAACAACAAATAGGGACTCAGTTGCTGCCTTCAACTCAACTTTTCACTCTTGGATTCGTGGATTGCACTTCATGGGTCACCTCGAACAGCCATTCGAAATTTGAACACTAAGTCGGACGCTCATCCTCTGGGCCCTAAGCTTCCAAATCCATCTGTCCACGCATCCATCTGGTGAATATGTCCGAGTCACACGCAGACGTGCCACACGTGCACAGAACCCCGCTTGTGCCGCACCTCACGAGTCCCAAACATCACAAAGGTCGTGGACGTCAGGTTGGGCTCAGTGATGATGTTATCCACCTGCACGCGGGCTCCACTGAATCACTGGGCTGAGCGGATGGATGGATGGACAAAGCAGGAGGTTGTTGGTCCTGAGGAGTCTTTCCTTCTTGGGGTGCAACCTCACCAAACCTCTCGAGCGCGAGCTTGCAAACGAATACAAGAGATTGCCTCTCTCAGGTGTGGAACACCTCGGTCCACCACTCTCCACCCAAGCACTCACCTCCCAGGTCCGCCTCAAAGGGAGTGTTGGTGACCTTGAAGTCATACCAAGACTCGCCCTCATTCCACGTGAAGATCACCTGCCGATGATTTCTTCCGGGACCACCCTTGACCAAAGAAAAGAATAGGCTGCGCTAGGCCCAACGATGAGAAGTCGTTGCCACTCCATTGCTGAGTTTTGGCTCCACCATTTGTAGAACTACCAGGCTGCAAAGAATCTTTGTTTGGCTCTTTGGGGAGTTTCCGTTGCTGTCAGTTTGAACCTCTTTTGGGATTTGTTCTTTTGGATTTGAATCTCTTGGTCACTGGGTGGTCGTTTCATTAGCAAAGTCAAGCTTGAGCTTGGGCCCTGCAACTTGGGCCCTGCAAAGGTTTCGATCGATCAGCGAGTCGATCGGCTTCCAATCACTTGGCAAATTTTCCCAAACATTCTGTTCTGCAATGAATATGTTTTTAATGACTCAATTGAAAACTATATGTCATCGGTGTGTTGCACCGATAGAAGAATCAAGCAACTGGATGTTGATCCCTTCAATGGCATGGGGTCCAACTTCGGTATTCGATGCTTGGTCAACGCAAAACACCCGAGTCGATCTGCCTGTGAACGACCCTGGAACCAACATGGAATTGGGGAGAGATCCTCGCTGGTCGTTGGTCTGGACCGCCTCCCCGGTCTTCTTGAGGTCATCTGCCATGACGATCAGCCCGCCATGGTCGCCGAACTCATAGATGAAGGCACCCTGGCATGGGATGAGACGTCGAACATCCATCGCGGCGGGAAGCACGTGTAGCAGTGGTAGCTGTGGTGACAGTCGGTTTGGATGTTGCGGAAAGTGGAGTGGGGCCTTGAAGATGTTGGAAGTTTCAAGAATGGAATATGATCACTAAGCTCTCGCGGCACCCACAGTACTCAACGAACTCTAACTTGTAAATTCTCCACTTCTGGGTCCAACCAATCAACAACTCGTGGCAGAACTGCTTCTCTACATCCTTGCAGCGGAACATCGTTCGGTTCGAACCGCGCCTTGTGAGCTTCGACCCAGGTGAGGCCTCCGTCGCGCGAGAAGAACGTGCTGGTCTCCTCGGGCTCGAACCTGGCGGAGAAAAACGCCTCGTCCTCACGGCAATCTGACCTACAATATCACAATATCCTACTGAATCCTACTACAATCAAGTCTGCGTGCACTGTGCCTTCGCCTTGACACGTCCGTGTTCTTAGAGGCAAGGTTCTCTCAGGTTGAGATGACCCTGCAGGGTGCCTTTCTCCTTTGGGTGCTCTTCTTTGACACGTGTGTCTCGAACATTGGGCAGTGGCCCCTAGAAAGCCCTTCAGGCTGGGGTGGATTCCAAGAGCTGCATCTCAGTCATTCGTCCCGCGCGGGCTTTTTCAGGCGCTGCACGCAGAGCACGGGCACCTGGGCAGTACGGCAGCACGTGCTGTGAGGCCTTGAGCAACAAACAAAACAAGCAAGTTGACGTCTGTCATGCATACTTGCCATGATCCGGAATACTCGTTCGTTCATCATCTATCAGGTTGCTTGGTTTGTTCGGTTGGTGGGTTGAACGCTGAGCTGGCAAGCACCGGCTTGCTCCCTAACTACCCATCTGTGAACTTGATTGAAACACGTTCCCTCTGCTGTCTGAAAACACAGCTTTAGGAGAATCAGGTCCTGGACAATTTGGGCAGCCCAAAGGGCCGATATGACGCCAAAGGCAAAAAATTGCAGTCTAGTTTTGGGAAGAAACCTGGTAAAAGTCCCTGGACTCTTTGCCCATTGCACGGGAAAACACGTCACCTCCGATCCCTCTCAACAAGTACCAGCAATATCACACCAGGCCCAGGCGCTTGTCTCTGTGCCCTGCCGCCCAGTAGTTGATGTTCAAACTGATGGAGCTGAACGGGAACTTCTTGGCCTTCTGTCGCAAAAACTTGGTGAGGATCCGCGTGACATTCGGAAACCTCCTGGGCGCGGCCAGTCTGCCGTCTTCGTCAGATTCGGGTGCTGGACACCTCCTGAAGGGCCCCTATTTGATCAAAACCATTTCTTTTTTAACGCTCCCCCTACTTAATTAAGTAGGCACCTACTTAATTAAGTAAGGGAGAGGTAGCTATTAGGATTATTAGGTACAGAACGCTCCTAGGTAGGAAGCAGGATAGCTCTCGCTTCTTTAAGGAAGCTCCCTCCGCCTGCGGGCGGGGGGAGCTTCCTTGCAGAAGCGCTCGCACTATTCAAATGCTCCTGGACTCCTAGATGTTTAGGGAAAGTAAATATATTTACAACATTCTGGTTCCTGTACTTTGGCACGAAACTTTGTAATGGGAAAGGCTGAAAGTATCAAGCTGGCATCCTGTTATAAACACTTGCTGAACAATAAGCCAACAAGCCTGAAGCCATAGTCGTCCACTTGCCACATGTTGCAGTTGCTACCAGTTAGTAGTACAGACCGGATGATTTCCTTAGCGGAATCAATCACCCGGTTGCCCAGTTGCTAAAGCACCGGACACCGGGTGTGGCTTCTCGAGGACGGAGGGCCCGAAAGACCACCATAACCAAAAAGATCCGTTTGCAGCAAAGTCCTCGCCTCACATGATCCGTCAGACTTGTTCTATTTCACAAGGAACACAGATCCGGAAGTCCCCACGCCACTGCCGTGGGTTGATTGAAGAGATGTGTTTCTCAGCGAAGAGATCACCCCACCTCCAGGCTCCCCGGTCCCGCCTCAGACTCCGCGCCGCCGCCGGGGTTTGAAGCTCTTTGCTGTGGTGGGCCTCCAGGAACCCAGTCCCTCCATGGCGGTGAATCATACCATCGCAACGTGTCTTTCTTTTTCCATGATTTTCCGAACTACAACGAACTCGCACCCTGAAGTTCTTCCTTAAGCCTTCAGTTTTCGACCTTTCAAAGCGTCAAAGTGGGCCATCTTGGAAATCATTGGACACCTGTGACTTGTTCTTGATGACCATCTGACTTGTGGGGGCTTGACAAGGCGTGACGGAGCACCGCACCCATCCTGCCTTTCTGTCTCTTCCTCGTCCTCAGCCGACACTGGGGAGCTGCAAATCGCCTTCAGGCCAGCGTTCTCTGCCATCGTCAGGCTGAAGGAACTCAAGGGAAGAACCTGCAGGCTTCGCACCACACGGATGGTCGTGGGTCACGGGAAGTTATGTTGTATCAGATTCAGGTCATAGGGTTTGGTGTTAGGATGTCTTGAGACTGGTGGACATCATTAAAGCAGTGTTATATAATATATTAATCAATAACAAAAACAATAGTGATCGTGATGATGATGGTGATGCTCATCATCATCATCATCATCATCATCATCATCATCATCATCATCATC